GAAGCTTTCCCAGAAGGCGGTTAGATCACCGGACGACAGTGTCGGTTTCCGTGTGCACAGACAGGGCTGCTGTTAACGTCGGTCTGTACAGCAGCACTGCGCTAAAACAGCTGATCACAACGTTCACACGCTCTGTGGTCACGAAGCTCTGCACTCCACTACCCCTCCCCTCGCCCCCCGTTGACATTCGCGATATAGAGGGCTTCATGGGAACTTTGGAGTACCAAACACTGACTCCAGGTACTCATCTGAGTACCTCACTGAGAAAGTTGTGTGCACCCCTGTTTATACATGTAATTACTGGTTCCATTTCTTCTGATTACCTCATTTGGGCGTGTTCATTTGCCGCGCGGAAACCTTCCTCTTTTGGATTAGGAAAGGTTGGCGTTGTTACACGTCAAACCTGTTTTGTTTGCACCTCAGTTGTCTTCTATCTCTTTATAGGTTACAGGTGCGGGCAGTTTCCAACAAGTAGACGTCTGAATTAACTCAGGTAGGTGATCAGAAAGAGGTTAAATTCAATATATATATAATATATAACACTTAAAGTTATGTAAAAGGGAATTTTAAGTCGTTTTTAATGTATTTCTCAGCAGTTATACGTTATTTAGAGGCTTATTACACGGGGTCCTATATAACTATATTTGATTTGTTAAGTAAACAAGATCAACGTCATTTTTATTAATATTTCTTGTTGGTTAGTGGGATTATTTTATGTTTATTTATTTATTTCTTTACTCAACTATATTGTAAGAAATCCCCAATGTATTTACAAAGTCTTAAATTACTAAAATATCAAGGCGGCGCTTATCAAACCTGTCCTTCTAGTTTCCCTGATCCATGCAAATACATGCAGCTGCTGTGGGGAAGTATTAAAACCCTTTCCTGGTGTTAGAGCCCTGCAGTGAGACGGGTCAGAAAAACGTGAAATATGTGAAATAGTCCAAAGGAAAAGCAGCCATTTCTTTCCATTTACACAAAAAAGACCGTCAAAAGAACTCTTTCTGCAGAAGAAATGGCCTTTCTGTGATTTATTATTATTTATATTATATTTTTGGATTAGAAATGCCTTCAAATATGATAAAAATGGTTCCAAATTCATTATCGATTATTTCCACCTCTGTGATATTGTGCTTCTTTATGCTTCATTACAATAAGCTTGTTTTTATCCACTGTTCAAATGGAGCAAAGAATTCCAATACATTCTAACTCTAATCCTCACTGAGTTTGTTAAGGAGTATTTTTACTTGAATATTTTCACATAAAAACCTCAGAGTCTTGTTGCTCTTACTTCATTATTTCTGGAGTTATCAGACACAGACGTCTGATAATAAAGATGGAGAGAAACTTAAGTATTTTATACGAAATGCATCCATTTGTTAAACAAAACGTTTCTCCTCGAGTCTCCGATCATTTGCATTTCACCCGACAGAGTTGAAGAGAAAGGATCACCTGACGCAGTAAAACGTCTCTCCTGAACATCGGATAATAAACCATACTTTATTGTTTTATTTTATGATTATACTTTATTGTCCGAGGGAAAAGTGCGAGGCGAGTGCAGGTGACCAGCAGAGAGGTGAGTTTCTCATACTAATATCTTTCATTTGGATCCACTTTGGTTTATTTCTGAGTCTGCTTCTCGACGGGTTCGCAGTTTGACAGATGTTGGTTAAAGAGACATTTTCCTTTGTCTTTGTCTTTGTAGTATAATCCACTCTTTGGGTTGTTTTAATGCACTGATATCATGTAGGGGTCGGCAACTCCTGGCTGGCACGCGGCACCGTAACCACTGGCACACTAGGAATAAGTGGAATAAGTGTGCACAAATATTGTATTTTCGGATCCTGAACGAGACCGCCGCCAGAGCGCGTCTCCCCGTTACCTGCAGAAGGAAGCCATGCACGCAACGCAGCCCCGCTCTCTTTATCTCCAGGTGACTTTCTGCCGCTTTCCTCCGTGGTGCAGTGCTGATCGTTTCACCACGGAGGAAAGCACTTCACTAATTGCAGTACCCATAAGGAGCTGTACAAATGCCGCAGTTTTTGCGTGGCTGTGTATTTAGTTGAAAGCCCAGTGGCGATCTGCTCATCTCTCATCGATATAATATTCTACAAAGGGGCGGACTGGCCATCTGTGTGTTGAACTTTCCTGTCGGCTCCCAGACCGTAGTCGAGGAGGGCAGAAGCAACAAGCTTCAGGTTCAATAACCCACTTTAGCTTAAATGACTGGAGAGAGGCGAGCTGTTCTTGGGAGGCCGTTGCATTTATTTAGCTGTTCTTCTGTTTCACAAAATACATCACAGACCTCTGTTTTTCTGCTGCCTCGTTTCACTTCCAGAAACATATCACTAATAACTAATAACTAACAACGATCACTGTCGCTCTACCATCCACAAACACACATGCACAAGCCACACCCCTCTTTCTCTCTCTCTTAAAGGGACAGCGATCTCATCTCACTCTGCATGACCCTAATATCATAACATGTGTGCTCTAATCTGGAGAATCACAAAACGGACGATCGTCCTTATTATTATGCCGTTTAAACCAATTATTCAAATGTGTTTGTTAAATTCGGCATCATGTAAGTTGCGCTGACAGGTCCACACACCGCTTCCCCGCAGCGAGGCTCACCCGCCCTCCTGATAACAATTTTTTTTTAAAATGGCACTTCATATCAAAAAGGTTGCCGACCCCTGCTGTACACTGTATACCAAGGCAGGTTTACCATCACTCACTGCACGGCGGCTCAGTCACTGGTACACTTTTATCTATAAAGCTATGTTGGGCAAACTCCCGTATTATATCTGTTCATTGATAAAGCAGAAAGTTGCAAGCAGCTATTGTCTGCGATCGCAGGATATAGTCTTGTTAGATGTGCCAAGAGTAAGGACTGTCTTAGGTAAGACAGCTTTTATGTGCGCAGCACCACTTGCTTGGAACAGTCTACAGGCACAATTGAAATTGAGCATTTTTATTTCTCTGAATGTATTTAAGGCACGTCTAAATGAAATGCTTTCTGACACTCTGGGTATTTGTAAATGTTGAATATGTAAATATGATATCCTCTGTTGTTTGTTTGTTTGTTTGTTGTTTTTATGTTTCATGTGGAATTAAATGATGCAGGTCTCCCTTGTAAATGAGATCGATGATCTCAAGGGACCAATCTGTCTAAATAAAGGTTTGAAATGAAATGAAATGACAATGCACTAAGACAAGTATAGACATGTTCATTCATATATTTTAATGATAGAACAGTTGTATGTCTGGGAGTGTGTTCACATTGCTACATTTCTAAACTTTGTTGAGTTTTAATAAGATAAAGAGCAGCATTATATTAAGAAGTGGAAACAGACCAATGTATGTTATAGACAAAAGTCTCAAACCAGACATATCTCTTAATTCTATTGCAATAACAATACAAGCAACAATCATCTGAGTGTTTATCCATCCTAAACAACTGTATATTTTACTTTGTGTAGATGAGAGTTTTGGGTGCAAGTACCTGTGTATATGATAATCTGCCTTCACTGTTGCTGCCCAGGTCCACATTCCCACAAAGTGACCTAAATGACAACCATGCCACCACAGTGAAAAACTAAAAGTCATGAACAGCGGAAAACGTTTGCATCTGATATAAATCAGCCTACGCAGCCATGAAGCTGTTGTTGCGTTCCATCGACGGGCAAACTCAGACATACGGCTGGAGGCTTCGATGGTGCAGTAATCTCCATCGGATAGTTTGCACCCGTCTGGGGAGTCTTCGGGTTCTTTTTCCCAAAAGCCAAACCCAGCTGCGTTATTGAGGCATTCACTGATCCTCCAGTGAGAATAATATTGGATTCTAAAAACCAGCGCCAGACCCCAAACCCACAGGACACCATAGATAGAGGAGTAGGAATCATAGTAGCTGTGTTTTAGTAAATAGACAACATAAAACTTAACGCACTCCAGCATAATAATCTGCATCAACTTTAGAAGGACTACACCCAGTGGATTAGGCGGAGCATGGAGGCTGATCCCTGCCATTAAAGACACAAAGTGTCTGTAGGAGCACAGAGGCCCGCCGAGCAGAGTGGTGAAATTGAGGATGTAGCTGATGAGAGGGAGCAGCATCACACACGCCTTCCTTTTGGATGAGGCTTTAAATGTTAGCACTACTCGTTTCTCCTGGAGGTCCATCGACAGCGAAGTGATTCTCTGAGTCAGCAGCATCAACGAGGACACTGCCACAAACAACCTGGAAGGAGAAATTGAATTGTCTGTATGCATTTCATGTTTTTACCCAGAGCAAAGGGCATAATACAGTTTAACAAATATTCTCCGAGCTTGTTGTGCAAAGAACTAGCCCAAACAGACTCACCTTTAGGTCCATTTATTAGCTGTTTTAAAAACGTTTCATCACCTCACAAATTCTTTGTAAAAGCAGCTGACATTTTCTAACAACATAATTATGTCAAACATTTTTGTCAACTTCATTATCTGTTATCCAGCTGGCAGAAAACAAATGGATTCATTCTGAAATCCATATTTTGTTCCTTTTGCTCTTGATTATATTCAAAGAGGATTTTCTACTTTAACATGCATTGGCCTAAAATATTAAATTACATTGTTTTGATATGTTTTTTTGCTTCCAACATTAATGTAATACTTAAGGATCTTTTTTGGAAGGGTATCCATCTATACAACTTGCAATGAAAAGCTATATTAGTTACACAACACAAATATTACGGAATGGCACAGTGGAACAAGATATATGTTTTAGTAGGATCAGTTAATAGTTGTCTTTGTACGTGTAATGGAATCAGATGAGAATAACAAACATAGAATATTGTATATAATATGATAAAGTATATGTCTTGTTTAACATAGAGATGAGCTGATTAGTACCTGATGCTGACAGGCTCATGCAGGTAGTATTCCCTGTACTGTATGAGAAGGTGCCAGAAGGTTTGCCACAACATCTGGACAGTAAACACCCAGGTGTGGACATGGCGGAGATCCACAGAGCACACGAGCAAAATGAAGACAGAGGTGGAGGTGAAGAGAAGCAGGCTGTAGACGCCCATAGTGACAACTGCCAGGACGCATCCTCCGACTGAAACAAACAGGTACCTGCACACACAGAAATCATTTTGTAGTCAGACACTGTTTCAATTGTTGATTTAACATTTGCTTAAGAATAACTATCTGCAGCTTCTACAACATTAACATCTTTCTGCTTTTCTCTGCTTTATACAATTCTAAACTGACGGGCATTCTACTTTTTTTTTTACAATATAACCTGACAAACAGATTATTACAGTGTTTCACATTGACCTTTTTGCAATCTCTCTTGTCAATAATTGAAATACAACATTCAAAAACAACTATTGATTTAATGAAGATAAATGAAATATTAACAAATAAAAATAAAAAATACATTCATTTTCACAATGGTGCTGTTATTGCTTTATGTTACAGTTTGAGTGATTATTAAATATTTCATTTGTTTTACAAACCGAACTTCATACATTTAAATGTCAATCCAAATAGATATTAAGATATGGCTTCAATGAAAGATATGGCATGATATTATTATCCAAGGCTCCTGGAGTATCTGGAATGACTTGAGACATAGTTTGATTTTTATAAAATGTATAAGCAATCAACTTGTAAATACATACCTGTACGTCAAACCCAGATATCCTCGTTTAGCAAGAATATAAAACAAAAATGCGAATGAAAGTGAAAAGCATTGATGCATCAGAAACTGATGTTGTTCCCACAAGCTGCTCATCAAACCCATATCTGAGTCTCTGTGTGAATATGACAGGAGAACAAAGCTGCTGATATTTAACATATGCAGCAGATTGTCCTGTTGAAGAGGTGATATATTAGTTTTACAGACTTAATGTCTTGTCATTCCACCTGAGGCCTGCATGAAGCCATCCCTTTTGTTTACCATGATCACAATGTACTGATAAAAGTGATTCCTTTTGTCGAACGTTATCAGCACTGTGGGATTCAAAAGCCTTTTTATCAGTCCATATTGTAGTTGCCCTAGAGAGAAACCTGTTTCCTTTCCTTCCTCAAATCAAACAAATAGCAACGCAGGAAGTCTGTTTGCATTCCAGTCTGTTTTCAAACAAACTGTCCCACAATCATCATCTCTTACTCAAGAGAGATTTACTGTACGTAATATATTATAGGAACTGGTTAAAAAAATTCAAATACAACAAGCATGAAAGAGTTTCATTTATTGTTTTGACAATTATTGTAAACAAATCAAGCAGTAGAAATATCAAAGAAATAAGGAAAGGTAAGCACCTTGGGTGCCGGGGAATTTTTTTTATCCCAACGGTGAAAGTTGCAGCAATTGCATTATGCAGAATCAACTAATTCCCTGGGGCCTCAATTATAAACGGTGCGAACGCACCGGTACGCACAAAAGATGGCGTACGCCAGTTTCTACGCACTGTTTGCGATTTATAAAAAAACTAACTTGACGGGAAAATGTGCGGTCCTCCACGCAAACTCTGACCCATCCGTACGCACGAAACACTAAAACGGGAAAGACGAGAAACTGCAACACCATACCATAAATAAAATGTTACCTCTCATTTATCATATATGAAGAATTCATTTTCAAACATTGATTAAAGCCAATCTTAAAATGATTTAACAGACGCCTGTTTGAGACTCCTCAGTGCACAAAAACATAACTTGGAGAAATAAATAAATACAGAAATGTTTTTGATCACCCCTCGATTATGTTCTCTTGTTAAAAAATGTATTCTCATTATAAATAAATGATGAGGTAAACAGAAGGACAGAATTACTTTAAACTGACGCCGTTTTGCATTTCTATAGGTTGTATAGATATGAGCATGGTTTTATACACTATCATGTTTAATCATGTTTTATGCCGTTCGCCAATACTTGATAAGTCGCTCGTAAAACACAGGAGGTATGGAAGCTAAGAACACTCGGAAAGTGTCGGTGCGTATTTATTTGCTTTGTCCTACGTAAGCAACCTTCCCACGCCAATCCTACAGCTGTAATTATATCCCTAACTGAAGGTGAATAATTTACAAAAAGGTGCAGTAGTATGTTGTGATCAACCCTCGATAAAAGGAAATGTCGAAACTAGGTTGGCATGTTACATATATTACACAACATTTAGTTTTGAAAAGTGCTGTAAAAACAATAAAGATTGTTATATATATGTTTTTAAATGTTCTAAAGAGCAATACACATGCATGTCTGATGTTCTCTTAGTGTCAACATGATGAGGCAACTGCAGTCACTGCCAACTATGAATCACATCTTGAGTTACTGCCAGCCAGAACATAATCCCAGGAAACACTGTTCATTTGCCAAGACGCATAGCAAGAATGGAAGTGTATGACAACAAACCAAAAACGTTCGCTTTGCCTCTCACTGGATTTAGTGCCCCTGATTACTGATGAAACATTGCAACTGCATAATTTCTTATCTTAAAGGTGGGGTAGGTAATTCACTTCAGAAACACTTTTTGTTATATTCCATGGAATGCTCTTAACATCCCGATAGAAATGAATACATTAAATGCTTTGTCAATAAATATATACAAATATTTCATCTGTGGAAGCCGTGGCGCTGTAAAAAGCAAGTCGAGCTGGTTCTCTTCATTCTTACCTACTTTAATATATTTTTTGTTATTATTTTAGCATTTTCTCTAAATTATGTTTCAAAAAGTTTCAGAAAATGCATGAGAACAACACAGATTAGTGACCATACAAAAAAATGTATGCGCATAAAAAAAATGAAAACATGTTTCTTACAAAGCCATGCAATAATTTACGTTTTGTTACAACGATAAAGAATTATAATACAACTGCACTATTAACAGAATTTGACATGAATACCTAAAATCTCTTTTTGACATGACACAAAATAGTCTCAGTGATGCAAGAGGAAAAGTCAGATGTCAACAAAGTCATAGAGTGGCGAAGTCCCTCCCCTTCCGGGGGACCTCCATGGGACCTTATTTCGGAAAAAGTATGTATTGAAGTCAATGGAGAGAGAAAGATTATCTTTTGATCCCGTTTGAATTGTGCAACGAATTACACATATGATGTTTGTCAATTTAAAAGATCATTTTGCAAGTAAAAAAAATAAAAATGTGTCGTAAAACTGTGAAGCAACACATTTTTTTTTGTGAATCGCTCAATGAACCACAACTCTGGTCTTGCATACGTCACCAACACCAAGATGGCCGTCACGTTAGCACATTTCACCTCTTTCTTTCAGAATGAAGCGAAAAGTATTAAAAGAGGTGAAAATCACTACAAGTCTGACCATGTTGAGAACTGTACATACACAAAAGGGGAGTTAGTCGGTTCCAGCATGCGGGACCGGCTTTACAAGGTTTCGGTGAGTAACACGAGTGTAATGTGTAACGTTAATGTCAGCTAGCTAAACTCACTTTACTCTGGGATTTGTAGTCTTTCTAGTTGCATATTTTTCATAGTCTTATATTTCAACGGTTTTAAGACAAACTGTGACTTTTTTGACATGGAAATGATTTTTTAAGATTGACAAACATCATATGTGTAATTCATGGCACAATTCAAACGGGATCGAAAGATAAGTTTTCTCTCTCCATTGAATTCAATACATACTTTTTCCGAAATAAGGTCCCATGGGGCGGAAGTAGATGAGGGGACTTCGCCTCTCTATTATAACGGTCAAATTTACAGAGAGAGTGACGTCAAACATCCAGGACAGCTGAGTGGTTCCTGTGACACCAAGTAAACACACTACACTGTAAAAAATAAATACCACACTACACTAAAAATAAATAATAAATAATTCACTACTCTGTAAAAAAGAAACAATTTTTTTTTCGGTTAAAATAATAACCATTCGGTTAAAATAATAACCATTATTTATTTTATTTGAATCTTTTAATAACCGGCTCTCTACCTGCAGGCTCACCTGTCTGCTGCTGCCTTCAGAGACACCAGGGGGGTATACTACGAAGCAGGTTGTTCTCTTAGCGGCTAACTTCAGGGAAAACTCGGGGTTTCCGGTCCTACGAAGCTGGTTCTCTTTTTAGCAGGCTAGATCTCCATGGTAACTTAGGCTGTGCGGCTAACCTGCCCCGGAGCAGGTTAGGTTGCAGGCTAAGAGATCAACTCAGTAAAAGCACTGCCTGCTGACCAATCAGAGCTCAGTGTGCGGAGTTTAAAGCGATCAAGTCATATTACAGGAGAAAGGAAATACAGAAAAGCTGCCGTTGCAGGAAAGACGGCCGGCAAAAATCACCGACTGTGTGAACGTGAACATTAATAGAATATCACCTTCAGAGCAATCTGACTATTATAACATTAGCGTTAAGAAAGCTTACTTAAATATCTGCCACAACATAAGTAACCGGATCAGAGTAACATTAAGTACAGTCCGCGGCATATCACATCATAATGTATCATATATTTCCTTATCTGAGTCGGCTGAGCCGTATCTGGCCGTGCAACACTCACAGTGTCACATACTGTATGCAGAAGTATTATTTTAAGCAACACATTAAGTTGACGAAACATTCGAGTCAAATGTAATTTAAAGTCAGATCCACTCGTGT